TTCGCGTCGTATGGAAACCCAAACCCAAACCCTAGTCGCTAGCCTCCGCCAGAGAAAAAGAACCTTGGCACCATAGAAGGAGGCCCGACTGCTGATCGCCGCCGCACCAGAAACCACTGTCGGCCACCAGAGAAGGTAAAAATTCTCTTACCCGCTCGGAATTCAATTCTGAGCACCCCTGTGGCCAAATCAGAGCAAAAGGGATGGAAAGTGAGCCGAAAACTGCGGGTAAAGTCCGGCGGAGCCGTCGTGGCCAAAACTCCAAAATTCCTCCGATGAGCCCCTTCTTAATTTTTGTTTCACGCGATTTTTCGAGTATTGTATTCAACGTCCTTTTCTGTGCAGGTTAGTCGAAAAAGGAACCCCAGCCGCGAAGGAGGACCGGCGTAGCCGTCGTATCCAGTGACCCCCCCGTAGTAGGTTCGATGTTTTTGGTGATTTTTCGGCCAACTAAGGCCCTCTAATATGTTTTTATGCAGGGATACGCGTAAAGTCAGCCAAAATCGGTCAAAATTAGCATGATCGAGGTGGATCACCGATATGGCTAGCAGAGTCGACGCCGAAGCACAGTGGCGCTGCCATATCGAAACACCAAATTTAGTTGGAAAGAGTTTTGGACACTGATTTTATATTTTTGAGGTATTTTTACATACGTGACAAGTGATTTGAATTTCACATAAAAAATTCAGGGAACCCAGTACCTATTAAGGAGGTGTGGTAGATAGCGTGATGTTTCGAAACACCGATCTGGGTAAGAATCTCTCACCCTATTCTCCATTACAGTAAATGGGGGCTTAACGATATATAATTTTGTGTTTTTATGAAAAATTAGAAAATCTTAAAAATAATTACAGATTACTAGTGGAGTCGAAATTGGTTAATTCACAATTGTCTTGATTTCTTGTTTATTTTTCTACACTATCCTACTTGCTTGATTTTCGTATAGTACATGTTCTTAATTTATAGTTCAATTGTCTTATCAACTTATCTGGTTATTTTGGTTATATACCGTCAGCATTAATGTAGTTTAATTGATCTGTGAATGTGATATGAAATATTGGTATCGTTTGTTAGTTGTTTCTTGATAAAAATCTGTATGTGAAAGACTTGCTGGTTACCCAGGAAAAGGGCGGACGAGTCTGGTACATAAGGAATCCTACCGTGAACTAACACCTAAGTCGGACGGGGCTGAAAAGTGTAATAACCCCTGAATGTCCAAAAAAAAATAAATTATTAATTAAGCACGGAAGTAAAATAAATGGTTAAGGTTTATATTCCTTATACAATAACTTAAAATACCGAATAGTGCTACGAGAATTACCATTTTGAAAGAAATACAAAAAAATAAATAAATAAGCGAAAAATAAATAAAACTAGCATTCTACTCGCAACCCTTTTGTGGATCGGGCTCTAGATCTTGGTTAAATAAGAAATGAGCTATACTAGCTCAGTAAGAATATCACGCTACTCACCGACATAGAAACGAATGTTGGTAGAAATCAAAACAACTAATGGAGCACTTAATTAAACAAATGCATTTACTAATAATAAAACCATTTACCGTCCATTTAACGCAGCGAAATTTATAAAAACAACTTATAGAGACAATAACATAGCACTTATCATGATTTCATATACAATCAGTAACATGCACACATTATAAATCCATATTCAATAAATCAAACAACAACTATCTTTTTCCATCAGTCTGTTGGTATCCATGGGGGTGCACAGGGATGTCTCCGCTACGCGTGAACCCTTTCCTTTAACATTCTCAATTAACGGGCCGTCCCCATATTCCATCTGGTATGAGCGCCAAATTACTAAACCTTAATACCCCGTCCGGTATGAGGGTGAAACGGGTCATCCCCATACTCCGTCTGGTATGAGCGCCAAATTACTAAGTCTCAATACCCCGTCCGGTATGAGACAACGTTCACAGTAGGGTTCCTTATTGTACCTAGTCCGTCCACCATCTCCTAAGATATCCAGTAAGGCTACCATTTCATCCATTCACTTAATCACATAATTTTTTATTTTTCTTCAGTCTCCATTTTTCAATTCAATGGTAATCACATAAATCAAATAATACATGCATTCAAAACTATAAAATCGATCAATGAAATACTATCATGCAATTAACTGTAAAATAATTCAACAGAATCAATAATAGATAATTTCCAGTTCTGGCTCCTTTAGTACCCTGTAATTAATTATGAATATTTTTTAAATTACATCAAATACTGTATTACTATTTATTTAGACTTCAATTCCATAACAGAAAATAGAGTGATGGATTTTTACTCAATTTGATGCCCGAAAAGCTAAGCTGTTGAGTGCGCCTACTGGCAGTCTCCGGGTTTCCTAAATTTTTCTTCAAGGATTAAAATGCTCTATAAGTAACCTACAAATATCCTTAAAAACTCAAAATCAGTCTTAGGACCCATTTTTGGCTAATTTCAGAATTCTGACACAGCAGCTCCATCGTGCTCCAGCAACGTCACCGCCGCCTACAACGGCAGTCCACCTCAGATCGGCTGTTTTTGGCCGTTTTCGGCCGAATTTGGCTGATTTTGCATCAATCTCTACGAGAAAATACATTAAGGGGCCTCGGTTGATCGAAAAAATATAAAAAATTGAAACTCATCAGTGGTGGGGCTCTTCGATGCGGCGACTCCTCTGACTCACGTTGCGGTTGGGTGTTTTGCTCTAGTCAACATATAGAGAAGGAAATGGTGAACACAATGGTGGAAAAATTACGCAGAACGGGAATCGAGAAAGGCCTCATCGGATGCGATTTTTGAAATTCCCTGCAGCGCCGCCGCTAGGCTTTGCCCCCAGTTTACGGTCAATCAGCTGGTCTTTTTACTTTGATTTGACCATGAGGGTGTTTGAAATTGAATTCTGAGCAAAAATTATTATTTTTTGGCCCTTTTGGCAGTCGGAAGTAGCTCCGGCGGCGCGACGGGTGGCGGCAACTCTCCTTCCCAGCGGCTAGGTCTTCTTCTCCGGCGAGGGTGTCTGGCGGCTAGGGTTAGGGTTTGGTGTAAAAAGGGTTATTTATATATATCCTCATTTAATCTGGACCGTCTATCGTGTTTGATCTGGATCGTCCGATCGCGTTTAAATAGGAAATAGATGTGGACTGTAGATCGCGTTTAAATCTGGTCGTCTGATCGCGTTTGGGGAGGGAACACATCCAGACCGTCAGTGCGCACGGGAACGGATCTGGACCATTCGATCGCGGGCATGCGGATTGCTCGCATGGCCTCCCGCGTGGCACCACGTCAGCGTCAGTTGCCACGCGGTGTGTTCTGGTTCGTTGAGGCCGCTGACCGGGCATCCTACGTGGCACAAATTTTTTAAATTATATTTTGGCCCCTGTTTTTTTTTATTTTTCTTTCAAAAATACCATCATAACCCAAATTTTGACCCATTTTCTCCAAAATCGTTTTCAATTTCATCCACCATCAAATTTTCTTCATTTTTATACTAAATTAAAATTTAAAAAATTAAAAAATTACAATTATAATTTAATTTAATTTATATTAAATTAAATTTGGGCATTACAGAAAGTTCCTTATCGGAAAGGTTTGTGAGATATGGTTCACCCTGTAACACCCCAAATTATTATTATTTTTATTAATATTATTTTATTTTATTTTAATTTTTTGTAATTTTTGAATATAATGATTTATTATGAAATAATATATGGTTTTAATTTAGTTTAATTTAATTAAATAGAAATAATAATAATAATAATAATAAAAATGGATAAAATGATTTTTAGAATTTAATTGAAAATAATTTTGGAAAAAAGTGGTCAAAATTTGGGTTCTGGAGGTGTTTTTGAAAAGAAAATCGAAAACTGGGGGTCAAAACGTAATTTAAAAAAATTGCACCACGTCAGCAACCCGGTCAGCAGCCCCGACCAACAAGGGCATGCCGCGTGGCAGAGACGCTGACGCGGGAGGCCACGTGAAAGGGAGCCACGTGGGCAATCCATGTGCGCGCGATCGAACGGCTAAGATTCGTTTTCACACACACGGACGACCCATATCAAAAGCGCGTACGGAAGGCCTAGATTGCACGCGTACGGACGGCCCATATTGAATCGCGCACGAACGACCCAGATTGCATCGCGATGAACAGCCCAGATTCATTTTCTATTTAATCACGATCGGACGGTCCAGATTAAATCACGATAGACGGCTCAGATTAAAAGTGGAAGGTTATAAATAATCTCATCCACACCCAAACCCTAACCCTAGCCACCAGAGCCCTCGCTGGAGAAGACAACCCAGCCACCGCCAAACGAGGTAAAAAATTCTCCCATTGGCTCAGAATTCGATTCTAAACTCACCTGTGGCCAAATCGGAGCCAAAACACCGGCCAATTGGTCGAAAAATGCTACCGAAGCCCAGCAGCGCCGCCACAGATTTTCTCGATTTTTGCCTCCGATGAGGCCCTTCTCGATTCCTATTCGATGTAATTTTTCCACCATTGTGACCACATTTCCTTCCTCTACAGGTTGACTAGAGCAAAACACCAAATCGTGACTCGAGCCGGAGGAGCCGCCGCACCGGAGAGCCCCGCAGCCGGTAAGTCTCGATTTTCTGTGTTTTTTCAGCCCACCGAGGGCCTTACATGTGTTTTCTCGCAGGAACTGGTACGAGTTTGGCTGAATTCGGCTGGAAACGGCCGAAAACAGCCAACTCGAGGCGGATCACCGCCGCTCGCGGAGGCGCAGTCGCTGGAGCACAGCGAAGCCGCCGTGCCGGAATTTCGAAATTGGTCGAGTAGGCCCTAGGTCTGATTTTGAGTTATTTAGGGACATATGCAGGTACCGCGAGTGCGTTTCAATTTCTGAAAAAAAATTCAGGGAATCTAGGGACTGCTCATAGAGGCAGTAAAAAAAATCAGTTTTAGATTTCGAATCATGTAAGGATCCCTCACCCTATCTCCTATCGTGGGATTAAAGTTCTAATAAATGAAAATATCGTGTTCTTGCAATTTATATAGATGAATAATTAATTAAGGTTGCTAATAGAACCCGAATCCGAGATATTTCTCTGTGAATTCCTGTTTTATTTATTTTACAGTTTTAAGTGCGTTACGGTATCTGGCTTATTTATTCTATGGTTTCGAATGCATGAATCACTATTTACTTCGCTGCTACTTGATTTCGTGAGTTTAATGTATGCTTGCCTTGTTGAATGCACGTTTGCTTG